AACTAAAGACCCCCAGGCGCCCCCAAGTCAGCTGCTGCTGAAACTGATCAGCAGCTGATTCCAGGAAGCCCAGGGCAGAGCAACTCTGCCTCGGGCTTTCTGTAGTCAGCCGCTGGTCAGTTTCAGCAGCGGCTGAATCTGGACGCCAGTTCCGACTTACATACAGATTCAACTTAAGAACAAACCTACAGTCCCTATCTTGTACGTAACCCGGGGACTGCCTGTAATTAAAGAGTCCAAGCTTTTTGCATTGACTATTCAATTAGTCAAGTGCTGCATAGAGCCTTGGGTCAGCTGGAGATTCCCCCACTGACCCCAGGCTCTGTGTGACGCTGCCAGCTAATCCTGGGTTCCAGCTGGCGCCAGGCTGCATGCATCTGTTCAAAACAGCAGCGCCGCATAGAGCACGGGGTGTCAAATGGCGCTGCCGCTTTGAAGCATCCCCGCTTCTTCCCCCCTCCTTTGCTGCCTCTATCCGATAGAGGCAGTAAGGGGGGAGGAGCAACTAGTTGACTAGCCTGTTGACTATCCGATAAGCAAATGCTTATCAGATAGTCAACTAGTTCTTCACATCCCTAGCTCAGTTTGCAGAAAATTTGGACTCCAGACTACCAGCACCACTTTTTCTGCCCTGAGTCTTGCCTTTGTTGGGATTAGTACAAAGGGGAGTGTGGAAACAAAGCTGATCTGCATATAAAAATGTCCAGGCTCAATTTACCAGTGTGTTATAATTTGTAACCTGGGTAGGAGACAAGTTCAACTGGAGGGCTCATTATACTGCCTCTCCTTGGAGGTTTATAAATGCTTGGTAGAGATCCTGAAGTTTCTGGTCTCTGTCAGTGAGATTAGAGCAGACGCGGTTATATCGAAGGGCTTGGCTATAGACGATGGATCGTATGTTCTAGATGGGAGCTGGAGGCATGTAGGTAACTGTGTGAGTTAGTGGGTTTTCTGTAGAGTGGTATCTAATTTACCATTGGTGATTTGTACTGTGGTGTCCAGGAAATGGATCTCTTGTGTAGAATGGCTCATCCAGAAATATAATTTATGCCATCATGTGCCAACTGTGTCTGTCTGCTATGTATATTGGACAAACTTCTCAGACACTTTGCCAAAGAATCAATGCATGCAAAACAGACATCAGACAGTTTCACAAAGAAAAAACAGTTTCTTGCCATTTCAACCAGTCTGGGCATTGTCTCTACGACCTTACTACCTGCATCCTGCTTCAAAGAGGCTTTAACACAAGACTTCAAAGAGAAGCCTCTAACTGTCATTCATGCTTAAATTTGACACTTTACGAATGGGCCTTAACAAAGATGTTAATTATCTCACCCATTACAAAGATAGCTTTCCCAATTATCATCTTTAATATCATTACCTCATAGACATTAACATCCCCCCCAATCTCCCGCTCTGTTCTAAAATCTGATTTGTCTATTTTATATGTATTCACTTTTTTTTATTGTATCCCTTTGGTATTTATGGTCATGCCAATTTTCTTCCACAATTTGATCTGAGGAAGTGGGTCTGGCCCACGAAAGCTCATCAACTAATAAACCATCTTGTTAGTCTTTAAAGTACTACATAGTCCTGTTTTTCTTCTCCTTGCCCAGTGTGCTTTTATCTGTCCTTCCACTCCCATTCCTCCAAACAAAATAGCTGTCTTCTGGCTAAGAAAACTGGTATTGACAAACTCTGTAGATAAGTCTATGACGATAGAAGTCCTTGGGGTCCAATGCATTTCCAAACACCTTCAAACTATCCAGGGCTTGGATGCTGTCATGGCTTATGAAAAGAACAAACTGGCTTATGAGAGTGAATCCTTGCCCAAATCGAAATTCAACCACAGTGACCTAAAAAACAAACAAAAAAAATCTACCCGCTCATCACTGTTACAGAATAACCTGGTAGAACGTTCACTCCAGGTTCACTCTCAGACTTCTTTTAGTCACTCCTTGTATATGTATAGTCTGAAAGTCAGGATACGGGTTTACACCACAGCAAAGCAACCTCCACAACGTCTGCTAACTTTACAGCAAGGAGTCCCTAAGGTGATGGCTGCAATTGAGACACTTTGCTCTAGCTAATGAAGAGCAAACTAACCTACCAATAAAGGACACATAATGGTAACATGCCTTTGAGAGGCACTGAGTAAACTTAATTTGAAAAAAGGACTTCCAGTGAGGTCGGTAGATACAGAATTTATTACTATTATGCAGGAAGCCCAAAAAAAGGGGGGGGGGGAAATTGGGGGGGCAGGAAAATACAGAAACTAAGGCGTTTATAATAATATTGTTAAAAAAAAAAACCTTATCAAAGATACGTATACATTCCCATTTGTTCTTCTTGTTCTCCACAAAGTCCAGGTGTTTTTAGATGGTGGAAACAGCAGTAAATACATCTATATCTGTTTTGGATACCATTTCTTCTCTTCTTCTAAGTTAAGAGTAGGTGGCCCCTTTCTCCAGTTACCTCACAGGCAAGTTTCACTATCAACTCCATTTGGCATTACAAGTTCCTCTCTGACATGCTATGCAGAGTCCTTTGGAATGTCTCACGTCCTCTATTCTTTTCAGGAGCAAGGAAGAGAAATTGAGGCAGATGTCCCTTTTCACCTTTGCTAAGGTCTCTAAGAACCCACACTTGCATTATAAAGTTCTCATGGGGTTCTCATGATAGCAGTTACATTATCTGAAAATCCAGGCAGGAGAACTACATGATGCCTAATGAACATTTTTCAGCCACAGAAGGGGTGATACTTTACACTCCTCTTACACTACCCATGGGATCCAGGGAGAGAAAATATGACAGATGGGATCCCAGGCAGACTTCAGTCACCTAGCCTAGATAAAACAAGATGTATGCACAGAACAGAGAGCTGTTACCTTGGGTGCCAAAGACGGTGGTTTCAGAAGCTGAAATGGGATTTAGCTCAAAACACATGTATCTGAAGGCCCATGGGAGGTCAGTGTCTCTTGTAAGATTAGGAGGCAGTGAGTTTAGGTGTGTATACCCTAGGAAGGAGTGCAGACAGTAGGGTCCCAAGAAGCACAGAGCCTTGGAAGACAATAAAATTGGCACTGTCCTAGGACTGACCCTTCTTGCTCTCCTTTAAGTGTGCATGGCAGCAGACTCTATGACACAAACCCAAGAAGTCTACTCAACTTCCACAAGTCTGCAGCTACAAATAATTATTTTATGTGGAACAAGTCTTCCCCTGCAGGAAATCATGGCAACTCCTAACTGACTTGAAGGTCAGATAAGAAAGTTTTTCAAGGAAGTACAGGAACCTATATACTAGTTTCCTTTTAGAATTTACTTCCTTGCAAAATAAAGTGATTAAAGAAAAAAGTAAACAAAGACATATCAAAAATACTCACCATGCACTTACTTATCCAAACATCTCAAAATAAATTTAAAAAAAAAAAAAAATCACATACCTCAAACTATTCAACTTGCAATTAGTGAAAAACGGTCAGACAGTTTAATGTTGAACAGCTATACAGCATGAAAGAATGAATTCAAACCACAACATAGCAAACAATCATTCCTTTGTGTAATTTTAGTGCAACTCTTTAGAATGCATCTTACTCACTGTGTTGTACAGTTTATCAAACTCAGCATATCGCCTGAAGACAAACCACTCATTTCTACCAACAGAAACCAACACTTTGTAAACCTGTAGGAACACAAAAGGCAGAGTAAATGCAAAAACAAAACAGAAAAGGGAGGGGGGAGGAACGTTTGAATACAGATTTCTCACTAAGCTACATGTCTTACTACAACTTCATGAAAGCATCAACCCAAGATTAACAAATCCTGCTTTGTTAGTTCCACCATTCTCATTTTTTTTAAAGTGGTGCGTTAAACATCAGTAAAACTACTAAAACTCCATAAGATTAATTCACATTCAGTAAAAAGCATCTTGCTACTAGATACTGAAACACTGATACAGGTCCACTTTGTGTGGGGAGGGCGGGAAATCAGGAAAGCCTCAAGTCCAGCGCAATGGTACAAAAATTAAAGTGGCCTCCTTTTACAGAAATATGGTCAGGAAGCAAACCTTCATATTACTGTTAGCCCAAAAAAATCCCACCCAAACCCACGTGGTTATCACTGAACACCATCTTGACCCAGGTTTTGTTGAGTAGCACATCTTCAAGAAAATAGGAAAGCGGGAAAAAGCTGTACATTCAGCATTTAAGCAATCGCTTATCTGTAAAAGCAATCACTTATCTGTAAAAGCAACTCCTCTGCAGGTAACATCTATTGCAGGGGGACATCTCAGGCCTGGGGGATGGATGCAGCCCCAGGGCTCCCCCCTCAGCATTGGGGAGCCCATGCTAGTGTTCCAGCCTCCTCTACCCGCAGGGCCCGAGCAAACAAAAGCTACTAGCTCGAGCCCCCCTGGGCTCCAGTGAGCGAGGGGAATATGGGGAGTGTCTTTCTTCTTCTCAGTCAAAGGCCACGTCTGTGAGTGTTTCCGTCCTTTTTGCTTCTCACTTGTGTACGACCCCCAACTCTAAAAAGGCTTCCCACTACTGATCTACGGAGGTAGGCTGCCTAAAAGTGTTTTTGGTGTGCATCGTTATTGGACAAGGTTGATAATCAAGTCTAGCAAAGAATTAGTTTGCCATATGTGCTTCCAGAAAGGAATAAACTCTAAGCTTGTTTACATAAACATCAATTCTGCTTCAGCCATGCTCAAACTAGGGATGTTAAAATGCATGTAAGTAAGTAACTGAGTAGCCGCTGAAAATTTCAACGCTTACATGGTTACTTGTGGGATGGCAGTTGGCTCCCTGGGAGCCAGCATGTAACTGAATTTTAACCGATAAGTCCAGGCTTATCAGTTAACCATTTTCATGGTTAAACTTACCCATCCCCATCTCCAACCAAAAGAGCAGAATTAGACATGAGAGATGATGCACCCACAATTACTATTTACAGTTAAGTGATTATTCTTCTCAAGTATTATCTTTGGCTTTACTCTTACACTGCCATGACTAATGAAAGCATATGAGCTAGTGTCATGGGCTATAAACACTCCCCTGGAAGTCAGGCAGGGAGGAGTTATTTTCCAAGGGAGCCAGGCAAAGAACCTTCTACAGACTAAAGAAACTAGCTGGCCTGCCAGCTGGAAAAGGGAGGATCCCCAGTTAGGCTCACCATGGCACAGAAAAACAGGGAAAAGAGGGAGCAGCCAGCATCACTCCTCCCAGATGTAGAGCTGCTCACGTAGCCTGAAAATTCTAGAAAGTAGCTACTGAACTCACAATCAGGACTGCTCTTTGTTCCTGCCAACCCCAGGAAGGTAATTAAGTCAGGAAACACTCAGACCAAGATGTAACCTGGGGATCCAGTTGGGATTGGCCTGCGTTGGGCAGCACTTGATGACCTCCTGTGGTCTCTTCCAGCTCTATGATTCTATGATCCAATGAAGCCTGCATGAAGGGTTATTCCTTCCTTCCCCAGATTAGGGATAGAGAGAAGAGCCAGCAACTTCCGCATTAAGTTAGGGTGGTGGAATGAACCTGGGAAACAGACTGATTTAACCATGTCAGCTAGAACCACTCTTTTCCTTTGATTACCTGCAGATGAAGTGAGTCTGATCCGGCTCAGCCACAGGCATTACCTGGGGAACCAGCTGAGACAAGCCTTAATTTACACATGTAGAAATGGGCCAAAACAGGGAGGCTGAGGTTTTCAATGGACAGTATTGTTTTTCCTTTGTTTACTGGTATCTGCTACTATAGATGGGACAGCCCTCATGGCTAAGCACAAAAATAATGGCTAGGCAAATGTATTCCCACAAATTCTAATTTTTTAAGTGGAGCACATGCAGATCTCTATTCCCACTGGGATGGGGTCAGAAGCTGACTTGAACATGAGTTTTAAAAGGAAAAGTCAAACCTCTTTGCAAGAATTATTAATCATGGTAGAAGAAACAGGGACCCTTACTTATAAAGGATCCTGATTTAGAATTCTTCACCATGCAGCTCCCTGACATTAGATCTGCAGTGGAGGCCTCCAACAGTCACAAAATCAGCCAGCCAATCAAGTGTGGGCAGTTTCTTTTTCTTCTAAAGACACATCTGCCTTCATTACTAAGGAAGCAACTCCTGTATTTAACTACAAAAGGTCAAAACACTCAAACTACAACTATGCAGTAGTTTAGCCTAGTGTTCAGCACAACCAATTGGCTCAATCTTTTTACTTGAAAGGACACCCCACCATTTTCTGTGGACATCCTTTTTTGTCCACATTAGTGGCAACTACAGTGTTCAATTCTTGTGAGGTGGTGGATGGGAATACCAGGGAGGTGACATCCTTCAAGGTTAGAGCTGAGACACATTGTCTTCATCTGTTGGGTGTTCAAGCCATTCAAGAAAAGAGGTACCTCTAAGTGCCAGGATCCTTTACGTTTTCCCTATGCATTTTTACAATGATTGCCCCGTGTGTCTGTCTCTTCTTTTAGTAATCCCCTCTTGCAGTCTCAAGGAGTAACGACCATAGGCTCCACAGAGTCATTCCAATATAGGTTTGCAAGAAGAAACTAAACACAATATAATAGCCATAAAAATACTCTGGAGGATGTAGGTCTATTATTGAAATTATTGCACCTATCACTTCTTGGCTGATAGTGTTATTAAATCCTAAAATATACTTGACAAGCCTACAAGCTTTTCTGTGAAAAAGTTTAATTCATCAGGATGCTAATTATTCCTTGATATAAAGCAGAAAAAGCCAAAACTTAGCAATATGTTTCTATAGGGAATATTCACCTGGTTAGACAGGGCCTACTGTGTCTCTTCTCCCTAAAATTTCCCCAATGTTGCTAATACTGGAGCACAGAGGCTGGGCTACAGCTGGGTTTCTGCCTAAGGATTTATGTGACCTGGTGCTTAAGAGTCTGGGGACTGTCACTGCCTTGCATGCTCCAGTGCTCTCTCCATTACTGTCACTGATGAACATACCACAGCAGGAAATTTCAAACAAACATCTAACCGTTGACAAGGCTGTAAAGAATTAACATTTAGGCAGTACATTGTCCTAGTTTTGTTGCAGGAAGATCAGAGACTTCTGAATGAGCTACTTCTTTCAAACTCATGAAATAAACTTCAAATGCACACCACCCCCATGCATTCTCAAACTTTAACTTCCAGCTTTAGAGCTATGCACCTTTTCTTTTCCATTTTCCCTCTCCCCAAAAAATAGTTACATCATGATACACTTGAATGCTTGCATTGACTACATCAGATAGCATTCTTTCCCTTCTGAAGATAAAGAGAATAACTCCACTAGTCTGAAAACAGACATAGCCTTGCACTTTCATCGATAGCATATTAACAACCTGGAGAAAATAAAAGAGAATTTTTCTAATTCTCTAGATAAACTAGAAAAAGCTAGCCAACATCTCAGTTTCAGGAAGAAACTGCACAAGAGAGTAATGAATCAGATCACATTTTTGAAAGAAATCATAAAGATGCAGTCTTTATTCTACATCAGACATAGAAGACAAAAAACAACCCAAACCACTTTATTTCCTATTTTAAGTAAGATTCTTTCTACCATTAACCAAAACAAATAGATATTGCCTGCTGCCAGATTTTTAAAGGCCTCTATGATGTACAAAATGTGTCAATCAGGACACTGCTGAGAACATAAAAGTCAGAGAAAATGGTGGGCAAACAGGTAGCGATGAGTTCTCTTTAAAAACATAAAGCCAACTGTAAAGATATAGAAGTAATGTGGACTATCTGTATTCAGGAACTCAACTTTTTCTTAGGACATCGTACTGTTTCTTAGGAAAAAAAGTCCCCCCAAAATTATATCCTAGATGCCAAATATGAAAAAAATGCTCCAAATCCGTTTAAAGAAATAGCAAGAATTTATAAAACAGAACTATATAAAAAGAGACACTCTAGAATACAAGTCCTATCAGTACACAGTGACTATTGTGTGTGAAGGTTAATTTTGTAAAGAATTTTGTTTTCTGTGTCCAGTACATATCATTTGCAAGTGAGCAAACACTAATTTCTATCAATCTTGGAGAGCACAAGAATATTAAAATATTTAAGATGTATGCTTTGTATACATTAGCACACAAGTAACTTAAGTAGCCTGTTGAGAAATGCTTACATACTTACAGTAAACCTCTTTTTCTTCTCTCTATGTTCATCAGAGCTTGGAATGCTAACACTTGGGCAGCTTTCTTTGAGATCCATTTTGTGTCCTCTTTGGGCAAGCTTTTGTCAAGAGTCTCACACAGTGTCCAACAAAGCAGAAGAATATTTCAATGATACTGATCCAAAATGTGCAGCTTTACTTGGGAAAATTTAAATTCCATCATGCAACCTTAAATGTAATTAAAAGATAATATTAATAAAAAATATTGTTCATTTGCATGGTTAGAACTAGGTTGCGAGCTCCTTCTCTGAGCAGGTATCATAGCTTTCTATGCATGTATATAGTACACAGTGCAAAACTGGTGTCTGAGCCTGACTGGGGCCTTTGGACAGGGAGGCTAACAGACATCACTCAGGTCTGCAACATACATACATTCAGGCCCAGACTACACAAGCTATTCCATGCTGGTGGGCTTTTACAGAGCCTTATTGATTTCAGAGGGCAAAAGAGGGCTCTGCATTAGTTTAAGACCCCTCTTTAAAAACTAGCTTGCAGAATCAGGGCCATGGGATGCAATACAAAATTAGGGACAACAAGGTTACAGGAAGATATTTATCAGAGTCAAGTCAGCTGTAAGAGTTGCATTTAGGTAGAAATAATTTATTCAAGATTTCTAAATATTTTCATGCATGCATCTGACAAAGTGGGTCTTTGCCCACGAAAGCTTATGCTCCAACAATTCAGTTAGTCTATAAGGTACCACAGGACTCCTCGCTGCTTTTGCAGATTCAGACTACCCCTCTGAAATATTTTCAGATGTACAAGAATGCACCTCAGGATACTGCATACTTGCCAGAACACACAGAGTATATTTAACTTTCACATGGCAGGAAGAAAAGGAAAGATATGAGGAAAAATCTTTCAAGTTTAAAGGAACGCAGTTAATTTTTAAAGAGAGTCACTTACATCTGAACATTCACTTGCAGTTACAAATCAAGCAGAAACTCAGATTAGGGAGAGATTTTCCCCTGCTTTGCTTACTTTGTGCTTTTGACAGCACATGGTCTAGAGAGTTTCATCATTTCCCCTGTACAGACAGTTAGTCAACCTCACCTCTCTTCATGTAGGTCTGTCACACAGTAATAGGGAACAGGGACATTTCAAAAGACAAGAAAATGAAAAACCGATACCCACAAAAAATAGGAAGGGGACACGTTAGTATTTAACTGGTTTTCTGAAGTCTAGATTTCAAGTTGATTTCACTGACTTTTGCTGGGTCAGGGAAAGATATTTTGTTGTGTTTCTAGCACAAAAGAGCCTAAAACCCAACTGGGCCAGCTAAAAGTTGCCACAGTACAATTTTGAAATAGCACACAAGAGAACCATCAATAGATGCTCAAGTTTAACAAAATTCCTGTTCAGGAACACATTGATATTTGAGTTTTTAGTTTGTTTCATTTTGAAACCAAATTCAGTTCAACCCTAAGGCACAAACAGAAAAGTAGGTAATAGTAAAATATTCGAAAACTAGCTTGTTTCATATCCAATTCTACAGGAAGAAAACTTTGGAGAGTGCAAAACTCAATGTTTAACTGCCACTTTCTCAAAAGAGAGAAGTTGAAATGCATATTCAAGGGCAAGACCTTAAAACAAAACACAAAAAACAACCCAACAAATTTGATACAATTTTGCTGTAAGAGACACATCTATATTTGTGTCTCAGTATATTTGAATATATTTGGACTAAAAGCCCCAGGAATCCAACTGAGGAGATTTTTTAATATCTAACTAATAAATAAATCTTAGAAGGTTCTGGTTTACTACTTCTAATCAAAATCTAATCAGCTTCCACTCTACCAATTCTTCTCTAGTTTCTCCTTAGATTTTGAGGAACGTGGCCATTAACTATAATTTACAGTTAAAAGAATGGTAACAAATATGGTGAAAATATTAAAAGTGCAGGAACAATTGTACTTGCAATGAAAAAGAAGGTCATTCACTGAATAGCTATACAGAGCAGTCAACATTTGTTTTAAAAAAAATTGATTCATTTGCCTTAATGTTTGACTGTTCCATACTTACTGCTTACTAACAGAGTATGTTTCCAAGTTTAACTCAGATATATTAATAGGTTGCATAACAGAATTAGATTATCTTACGCATATCAAATCAGCTAGAAATTTGTGTCTTTGATGAGCTACTAATAAAAAGAGTGGTATTATACAGTTAGCCATAATTACTACAGATTGAACCTCTCTTGTCCAGCACCCTGGGATCTGACTGGTGACAAACCAGAGAATTTGCCAAACCATGTGAAGTCAATATTGTCTAGCATCATTACCAACACTCCCACTGCTTACAGGGCTCTTAGGGTACAACTATACTGCAGTTTTTTCAAAATAAGCTATTCTGGAATAGTTATTCCAAAATAGCTTATTTCAAAATAGCACATCTACACTGCAGGGAAGCCTCAAAATTAGTCGAAGGCAGGCTTCCTACAGGTAAATACAAGGTAAATTTACTCATTTTGATCGGGTGGAAGAGAATGAACAGCTGAAGATGACTTCAGAAAAGTCAGTGAACAAAAATATTTATACTGCAAGTTTCTTGGAGTTTTGCATGATGCAGTTTGCACTGCACAGGTTTCCCTGAGGAGACTACATTTACAATACCATATTTGCACCAGATGACTAAAAATAGGTGATAAATTTGTAAAAAGAGCAATTATTGCTTGCTTGTGGAACTCCAGAAGAAACATCATGCCGTTTCTATTCAATGGCAATATTCAACTATCATGGTAACTCAACTGTAACAGAAAACTTCATTTCAAAATTTTTTTTTCTTGATTCCTCCATCGCTGTAATACTGAAGATTATCAGGTTTATTTATTAATGTTAATAGTGCCTCGCAGTATGGTGGCTAAGTGATTCAATAAGGAACACAAGTTCGATGTATCAACCATTAAAACAAGACAGACATTAGCATACAAGTTGAAGCAAGCACTGCAGTATGCCTCAGATGGCCAGGCTCAGGCATACGGAAAGGGGTGAATTCTATATAGGAGCAGTCAGCTGGGAAAGCTCTACCAATTCTTAGAGTGCTCCCCTATAAGAAACAAGTGCCTTCCTGATAGTCTCAACACCGAGGACAAATAAAAGGAAAGATGAAAGTCTCAAACAACTAGACCACGCATCTTGAATTGCACTCAAGTATACACAGGAATCCACTGCAGAGACTTAAAGATATGTCTCCACACCTGACAACCCACAGCAGTCGGGAGACATTCAGTATCAAGTGGAGCTCCCAAACACTGAAGAGGGAAAAAAGGTGCAGATGACTGTTGTATGGAAAAATTTTGTCTAACTCTGTACAAAGAACATTTTTCCACTGGGAAAAAAAATACAGTTTTGAGTTGACTGGATGTTTTATGAACTAGGGCTGATTTCAGTAAATTGTTTCTATTTAAATGTAAAAAAAGAGCAAAAGTTTAGAGGAGGTGGCCATTCCCCCTTATAAACATTCACATAGTGATCCACCTGGCATATGAGAGACTCAGTGTAAATCCCTTCTGGAAGAGGGCGCTGAATCCAGGTTCTCCCATCCTAGTGAGAGAAATATCTCATTTGCACCTGTTGAAGCTGTTCCACTTTGTATAAAATGACTGAAAAAGTCACTGGACCAGAGAGCAAATATGACTGTTGCCCTCTGCTTAGGACTCCCTAGTGGGAGTAGGAACTCCTGGATCCTAGATCCTACTCCAGGTGACAATTTACACAAAGAGTAACAGCTTAATCAGGAGAAGAGAACAATCCTGACTGAATACCCTATAACCTGATGGTTAGGGCACTCATCTGGGAAAGGCCTGTGTTCAAAGTCCCAGTAAGGATTCAAATTTGGGTCTCAAATATCTCAGGTGAGTGCTCTCTCTAACCAAGAGGTGGTGACACCACCACCAGTTTTGTACATCAAGACCTTCATTTTCTTTGCTAAACTACAACAAGGCAAAATGACCAAAGCTGAAACAAAGTAGAGTTTGACCGGAAACAAAAGTTAACCCATTTTTCTCTGCTGAAGATCCTCAAAAAGACTGAATATGGTACAATCTGATTTTTTTGTAAAAGATTTTTAGGAACTGCCAGTGAAATGAAAGTAGCTATTTGCATAGCTCTCTGTTTTGAGGTTTGCATTAGAGAAGAATGGGGCAAAGTCTTCTTGGAAGTTTCAGATGAAAAATCATCAAAAGCAAATGCCTGTATGGATCCATTGCTGCTCTTGTGACAGAGACCAGAGACCATGAATCATTTTGACAAAGTTAAAGAATACATCCTTGTTAGATAGTAGTAGTGGACAACAGGTGTCTCACTGTCTTATACCAAAAAGCATGTCTTTTGTTTTCTTCTGGGTTGAACTATATGATCATTTCCATTTTATCCACATCTTCCCTCCCACACAGGAACTGTGAATGGAAGGATAACAGAATGTGGAGGTTACAAATAACAGACACACAACAGTCCAGTACAGACACATCTGACAATCTCCTCAAATGACCTATTATAAAAACTGAGCAAGGTGGATCAATATATACATACAATGTGAATTCCATATTCGGATTGGATTCCTGACTGACAGGAATCCAAGAAGTTTTTTCAATCCACCCTCTGAAGTTGACTCATCTCTACCTTCAAAATAAACTTCCAAATCTTCTGGTTTTAAGGAAGAGAATAGTAGCCAGTGAAGTTTCAGCACTCAAAATATGGTTCCATAAGCAAGCTCCTAAACATTTTTTAACCCTGGTTAGCTGCTTGTACTTTTGGAAAAAGGTATTAAATAACTTAATCAATACCCCCTTCCCAATGACTCCTGCTGCTGACTTTAATCCTTCACCATGGAGAAGCTCTTGCTGAAGAGAAACAGAAATATTTCAAGCACCCCCAGAATGCCCTGTAAATTAGTGAAAGTCAGCCCCTTCCTATTCCAACACTTTTCCATGGGGATTAGAAACTTGGCCCAAACTGTATTATGAAAGGCTTCTCAAATTTTGTATCTAATAAAAAAAGAAACACTTTAGTCTATTGGTAACTATTTTAAACTAGTTATGACAGCACTCAAGGGACCCAATCAGGGTCACAGTCCCATTGTGTAGAATGCTGTGCAGACATACCGCAAGGAAACAAAACTCCTAGTCCTTCAAAAGCTAAAACTAGATTAGCCATCTGATGCATAATTCT